AGGGCAGGGACAGGCGGCAGGGGGGGGAGTCTGGTGGTGGGGGCTATGTCTGGGTGCCATGTATGGGGCCCACAGGGCTGGGAGGGTAAAGTGAGACCAAGTGTGTCCAGGAGGGCAGGGCTGGGCAGTTGGGGGTCCTGGGAAGACACTAGAGGGAGGCAGGTGAGTGGGCCAAACATGCGTGAGGGGTGGGCCCAAGTTGTGTTTGGGCAGGCTGGCAGAGGTGGGCTTGTCTGGGTCCATGGTGCTGGGCAAGCAGGGTAGCAGATGTGTCCTGGAGGAAGGGGTGGGGCAGGCTGAGTTAAGCAAGTCTGAAGGGGTGAGGTCTAGCTTTTCCGGCCAGGTGAGTAGGGCCTTATGCATCTAGGTAGGCAGGGTGGGGCCAGATGTGTCCAGGTGTGTCTGGATACCATGGGCACACAGGACCTGGTGGTACCAGTCATTCCCAGGCAGGCAGGGCCTACTGTATCCAGGCAGGTACAGTGGCCGCAGGCCACGTTGGCCAGAGGATAAAGCCAGGAGTGTTGGGGCTGGGTTGGCTTGTCCCCACCCACTTAGGGCTGACCAAGAGCCCTCCTCCCACCAGCGAGGGAATCCTACTTGTAATCTCTGGTCTTCTGTGAGTCCAGGACACAGGGTAGATGGGGAGCGAGGCTCATGTTGAGGGTCTGCCCCTTAGATCTTACCTGTAACCCGCTCAGATCCTACCTGCACCCCCCTCAGATCTTACCTGTAACCCCCTCAGAGACCTCACTATGGTCCCTGCCCACTTTACAGCTGCCCCAACCGCAGAAGTCCAGGCTGGCCCAGAAGTACCAGATGTCAGCAGTGCCACTGACAGCAAAGGAGGAGCCTGGGACAACAGCCACACCCCAGCTGTTGTCTGAAGAGGACCTGCCTTGGGATGCTGACCTATACCAGAACTCTTGCAGAGGAGATTTTTGGCAATCAAAGCCTGTTGAGCATGTGCCAGGGCCCTGGGGTGGAATGACAGAGACAACGAAGGCAGCGAAGGTCAGCAATGAGGTGAGACGGGGCAGGGAGTGTCCAAAGACCTTTTTGAGACACCCGATGTGGGGAGCCTGTCAGTATTTTCCTGGTCTGCAGCCCTCGGTGAGTGACACTGCGGAGCTCCCGTTCCTGCATCCCATGCCGCAGGAGCAGGCAGTGAGTGTGAAGCACATGGAGGATCCGAAGGAAAAGGTGGAGTGGAAGGTGGCAGAAATGGTGGGAGGGGCGCATGGAGGCAGAGGTCGGAGGTGGAATACAGGGCAGGGGTGCGGAGCTGGGGGCTGACAACAACTGTCCTGGCCCCGCCCTGGCCACTATTGCCCCCCAGATGGGAAAGAAGCAGAAGTGCAAGCAGAAGCACAAGCAGACAGACGACGGGAAACCCAAGGAGAAGACACATCCCAAGGACCCTGCCCCGCTGCGGCAGTGCTTGGGCCCTGGCTGTGTCTATCCCACCCGGCCAGGCTCCAAGTACTGCTCAGATGACTGTGGCATGAAGCTGGCAGCTGAGTGAGTGCATCTGGAGGTTAAGGGACAAAAGGTGAAGTAGGGTGTGCCATCTGTAACTCCAGCCCCCCAGCCACACACTCGTGTAACCATGCATTTGCATTCTGTCCACCAACCTGCTTATCCACCCTTATTGTCACTAACCTACCCATACCCCCAGCCAGCCAGCCAGCCAGCCACCATTCAATCACCCACTCACCCACATTCTCCCAGCCACCATTCAATACCCTTTACAGTCACCATTCACTAAGTCATTGATTTCTTCTTCCTTTGATGCCCTCATCCACCCATTTCGTTTCTTGCTGTCTCCCCTGCCAGCCGCATCCGTGAGATCCTGCCCCAGCGCATCCAGCAGTGGCAGACAAGCCCCTGCATTGCTAATGAGCATGGCAAGAAAATGCTCGAACGCATCCACCGTGAGCAGCAGGACACCTTCACCCGCCTGAAGGTTTTGGAGTGCCAGTTCCATGAACTTGAGGCCATCATTCTTCGTGGCAAGCAACAGGCTGTGTGCAAGGATGAGGAGGTGAGAGGGCAGAGTGGGTGGAGAATAAGGGTACCTGGTATCTTGTCCTGCCCATCCCACCCTGTACTGCTTCACTGGCCTCTCCGTTGCCTGGTGCAGAGCAAGAAAGGTGACAAGGACAGAGTAGACCTGAAGATCTTCTGTGTCTCCTGTGGGCAACCCATCAATATGCGCATGGCCCTGCGCCACATGGAGCGCTGTTTTGCCAAGGTTGGAGCATTAGCCAGAGGTCAGGTGGTGCTGGGTGGGGTGGAGGGGTGGCTTGGGGTCCACAGGGGCAGGTTTGGTGCTTGGGTACTACTGGCAGGAGGGAACACAGCACACGTCTGTGGCTCCACGCATTTGTGCTCTTCCTCCATCCCCAGTATGAGAGTCAAAGTCAGGGCATTAGCCAGCAGCGGTGGGAGTGGGGACGTTGGCTGTGCAGATAGGAGCATAGAGGTCTACAGGGGATGGATGTGTCATTTGGAGCTTTATCAGGGGAGGGCATGCAGCATATGTCCACAGTTCCTCCCATTTGTGCTCTTTTTTCCCAGTATGAGTGCCAGTCGTCCTTCGGGTCCCTGTACCCTACTTGCATTGAGGGGTGAGTGTGGGTGCTACATGCACAGGCTCAGGAGCAAGGGGGAACAAGGTCAGGGCAGGGTGTGGGTGGGCTTAGGGGCAGGGTTGAGGTGTGGCCTCCTGCCTCCTTGACCCTCAGCGCCTCACTTTCCGTCTCCCCCCAGGACCACTCGGCTCTTCTGTGATGTCTACGACCCACAGAGCAAGAGGTACTGCAAGCGGCTTCAAGTGCTGTGCCCTGAGCACTCTCGGGACCCCAAGGTGAGACTTTTGCTTCCCCATCTAATGCCCCTCCACTCCTCCAGTCCTCCTGGCCTGATCTCTCTCCCTATCTCCTGACCAGCTTGTGTGTCCCCTGCTCCCTGCCTGACTGCCCTCTGTTCTCATGTTTCTCTGCCTGGCTGTGCATATTTATTCATGCCTTCCCGCCTGACCTCCTGCATTTCTTCCGGGTGATCCCGCCCCTCCTCACTGCCTACACCTCCCCACATTCTTCTCCTCTCCCTGCCTGAGCACCCTCCATTCCTGTCCCACCCCACTTCCCTCCCCTCCTCCCTGCATGGCACCCTCAGTTCCTCTCTCCACTTTCTGACTCCCCCACTCTTATCATACTCCCTGCCTCCTGCCCCCAATTATCTTCTCTCTGCCTGTCATCTCCTACATCCTTTCTTCCTCCCTGCTTCAGCCCCCACCCCCACATTCCTCCTGCAGTCCTCACCTCCTCCCTGCCTCAAAGCCCCCCTCTTCTGTTCCCCCTGCCAGCCCCCCCAAGCCCCACCCTCCTGCCCCTCCTGCCTGTTTGATCTCTTTCCATGCGTCTGTCCTTCCTGCCTGATCACCTCCATCCCTCCATCCATCCATCCCTGCTTGGTCAGCCTCACCCCTCCATCCTCCATGCCTCATCGTGCCCCATTTATCCGTCTCCTTGGAGTTCTTTTCCACCCTGCCCTCCACTCCCCTGTCCCTGTCGCCATGCCTGCCCTATCGCACCCCTGGCTACCCTCCTTCATAGCTCACCCCCCTTAATTCCTCCCCACAGGTACCAAATGATGAGGTGTGCGGCTGCCCACTAGTGCACAATGTCTTTGAGTTCACGGGTAATTTCTGTTGCCTCCCCAAACGCCTGTGTGACCGCCACTTCTGCTGGGAGAAGCTGCGGCGTGCTGAGGTGGACCTGGAGCGCGTGCGCGCGGTAGGCCCAAGGACCAGGGGGAGGGTGGGATGCGGGAGAGGGTCCTAGAACCCCCCTCTCACGCTCACCTCCCACAGTTGCACAAGCTGGAAGAGCTGTTTGAGCAGGAGCACAAGGTACGCACTGCTATGACCAACCGGGCAGGGCTGCTGGCCCTGATGCTTCACCAGACGACACAGCACGACCCATTCACCGCTGACCTGCGCTCCAGGCCAGAGAGCTGAGCCCTGCCCCACCTAGGTCTTGTATTGCACACCCAAAAATGCCCCACACGCCTGTTGCTCCATCCACCTTTTTCTCAGGGCATCTTGGAGTTTCCGTCTGTGCTTCTCTATCCACCACTTGGTCTCCTGTCCCTCTGTCTACCTGCCCTTGAGAGAGGGATGTCCAAAAATTCCCTGTTCCCATCCATCCCCCCATCCCTCTTTTTCTTTCTTTCCTGATCCTGGGAGAGACCAGGAGATCTGCCCTGCCCTCATCTCCACTGTCCACAGTTGTTAATGAATTTTGCAAGAATAAGGTGTCTTTTTTTGTTTGTTTGTGGTTTTTTTTGTTTGTTTTTTTTGAGACAAAGTCTCACTTTGTTGCCCGGGCTAGAGTGCCGTGGCGTCAGCCTAGCTCACAGCAACCTCAAACTCCTGGGCTCAAGCGATCCTCCTGCCTC